CTCCTAAACTTTTTGCCTTTCAAATATTTGAAAGAAAAGGGATCATCCACCACCACATCACAGCCTTTTTTTTTTGGTGTAGATTAAACATGAGAAAGCTTTTTAGTCTGTTATACACAATAGTGCCAAGGTTATACCTGAAAATGGATGCAGGCAGTTAACCTCCCCCTTTTCTTTGCATTTTCATCTGTGAAGCCTGTTCTCCATGGATTGTCCCTTCTTAATTCATTTTAAGTCAAGTAATATATTTCTTATACAAATAGATATATTCACATGGTTTAAATCAAGCTGAAGGCTGTTGACATGTGTGTTTTTGCTGGATTAGTTAAATTGATTTAAAAACCATGTTCTTAGAAAGTTTGCAGTCACAGATTTTTATTCAGACCAGGCAACCAGGTTAATTAGCTACTGTGAACTGCTTACGGTATTGCAATATCCCAGCAAGTGATGCACTGGAAATGTTTGCTGGTGAGGGTGACAGGAGTAAAGAGAACTGACTATCTCACAAACTGTGAAGGAAATCTCCTACCTATGCAGATGGGACGAGTGAAAAGTAAGCAGAAGCCTTCTGATACACTAACAATTTCCATCCCAGTTTCTTATCAGGACTTCATTGTAATAGAGCAAAGAGACAGAAACAAGGCTGAGGTAGTATTTTAATCTCCAATTCTACTGACTCAGCAAGACAGTAACATACGGTTTGGAATTAATGCAGACATATGAGAATGCTTGCACTGCAAGAAAGAGCGATAACAGAGGGTTAGAGGTCAAGTCCATTAGTAGAAAATAACATTTTAATTCAGACCTCGTTTCAGGAGTTTAGCCTATTTCCAGTGTGTCCACAGTTGACTAACCTGCTCCTAAACAACCACCCTATTCAAGGAGGGAGAGAATAGTGGGTGTAGCTCACCATTACTGAAATGAATTGTGTCTGTCTCTTAAAGTTTCTAAAAGAAACAATGAAATAGGAGAATAAAAGGTCTTATTTAGAAAAGCAGGTTTCTCTTCACAACTCACCTGAAACTTTTTCTTTGCCACAAAATACTGCATCCTACGAATCACCTTAATCGCAGCACGGTGATGTTCTCGCAGCCTATGGGGAAAACAAAGCAGGTGAGTAGGGTGAAGGAGCATCTCTTTCCAAACTGTAAACTAGCAGCCTTCAGAAAGTGCTTCACCAACACATGGATGTGTAACATTAGTAGTAGCGATTCATCCCGTGTGTGCAGCACACTACTATTTTGACCTTCCCTACCTCCCAAGAATGCTATAAAAATCCAGGATTTTGTCTGCTCTATGCTAGGTTAGTACACATGTCACAGCAAAAACTGGCGTCCACACAACCTCTATGTCAAAGCAAACCTCCACTTGTCTTTCCCAGTTCCCTTTCCACAAAAAAAAAGAAAAGAAAAAAAAAAGCTGTCAAGTTTCTGCATATTCAGCCATGCAGAGCTTTTACACACACTCTAGAATTACAGCTTTTGTTTCTTTTCTTTTCACTAAGTCTTGTGCAATATGCCCCTTCACTCAAAGAATTTGGATTTCAAAAACCATTAAAAAATCACTTAGAAGATTTTTGAGTAGACTGCTAAACAATACAAATGATACGGTGGTAGCTGAATGCAACCTCTATATCCACATGCATCCCCAAACTGAATTGGAAGTGTACATAAAGAAATCCACAGTGTCTTAAAACAAATATATCTCCCTTGTCATGCACATGAACTAAAAACAAAATTAAAAAAAAAAATCCAAAACCAAGAATTTGCTATTCATATAAATTTTCATAGTATCTGAGAAAATTATTTTTCATGAAGCGTATGAAAGAAATCCGTTCATTAACAGCAACAGATATTTGTTGTTTTTCATTATTTTTAAAGCTTATTAGAATTACATTTTTTTCTTCTTAACAGTAAAAAAAAAAAAAGACAACACACCATTAATATATCAAAGCTATGCTGAAAACTTATCCTACTTGCTCACTCTATTACTATTACTATTCTCTGCACATTTAAATGACAATATTGACAACAATGTGGCAATGTTTTTGTTTCTCAATGGTGAACTTCTGGCATTTTATATTTTTTTCTCAAGTAGACTTCCAGTGATGGGTTAGGGTAAGGAACAGACAAAGAAGAGCTGGCCTTAGATATTCCAGGTGTTCTATCATTATAAATTGTTACTAAAAATGCTGATGGTTAGGCATACGAAGAGGTCCCTATGCAGTATTTTCTCCCCTGGTAGAACCTGACCTTGTTCATATTCACTATAGGATGGAAAAATTGTATTTAAGTCGTGTACAAGCTTGAGTCTTCAGTATATTACAGCGTGCTATTACCTAATCCTCTTTAGTTAAATATAGCCTGGAGCATCAGTGAGTATTCAGGTAGCTCCTCAGGACAAATTTCTCCCAGCAAAGAGAAGTTCTGTGTGTGCCAATCTTGGGTGCCTGTCCTGTGAGCAATACAGCAAGCGGAGCCTTTCTGAAAACTCACTCTTTATGGGAGAATAGCTTTCTCCAACTACAAAAGCCAAAACAAAAATAAAACAAAACGCTCTGATCTTCTATTTGCAGATACTGTTCTATCAGTTAGATTTTTTTTTTTTTGCTACAGACATCACTTAAATTTAACAACAACAGAAAAACAAACAAACAAACAAACCACAACTTTCTCCGTAAAATAGGATTGCTTTTCAAACTAATGACGTGAAGCTTTTCAACACAGGTCCACCAACCATGATGTGCCTTCATTCGGAGTGACTGCACCTCATTAACTACGCAGCGTTCCCTGAATCTGTGCTTGGGTTTGTACGGGAGGCCCTTCCCTATTAATACCTTACAGAAGGCTCTCACAGGACTCTGTCCAGGTCCCCTCTCATGTACACTTGACTGCAACATCATGCTCACGTTATAAGAATGGAAATTCACTTCTTCTAACTGGGCCAGCTGCCTTCTTGGATCGACTCCCGGTGAACTGAGTCAGCCCAATCTTAGTTACTGGTGTCGCTATTCCGAGAGCCCCCGCTGCATCACTGCTCACAACAAGGACAACTTCCACAAAACCAGAAGGAAATAAAGCATTTATCTTTTTAAGTTCTTCTTCACAGAGTTAGAGCCAAAAAGATAAATGCTGCTGAATTTGGTGTTAGGTATTAAAGGTATGATAGGGTAACTTTCATGCAGATATACACAGCATAATGCACACAACAACAACTTATGACAAATAGAAATACATTTCAATTGCAGTAAAACTGCTTGTAGTATTTTGTTTTATGCCTCATTTCCTCTGGGGTGTTCTTCACAGTCCATTATTTTTAACTAAAACACTTTTCTTTGGGGCATACGGTCACTAGTAAAGTACACCAAATCCCTCATCTTCTGTCTAGGTGCAGAACCTCATCTGTACACAAGGCAGTAGGATAATAAAAATGAGATTCACCATTCAGTGAAATAACAATACTACACCACCAAAATGATTTTCCAATGCAGTAATTTTAAATCAATCATTTTTTCAGCGCTAACATGAACTTTGATGCCAGGAATGGAAGTTAATATTCTCATTTTGTTCCTTTACATTTCCAACTGCAATAGGAAACCTTGCAGTAAGCTTGTTTCTGCTTATGCTGTAAAATCTAATTCTGCCCAACAGGCTGTCCTGCTTCCCTGAGATTAAATGCTTCTGCAATGAGAGAAGGGAATAAAGGATTTAATTAGTAGCCAAGGTTATGATTCACAGTTGTTTGATCTCTTTTGCAAACTGGTAACAAATGCTTTAGTAAATTGAGAGCTTAAACATTAACTGGAGATATTTGTTTGTTCAGCCACTCGTGACATCTCTCAATTCTAGTTACAGAATGACTGTCTGCAATCTGGGGGGACATACAGCATCGTTATATGACAAACAGCCACACAATGCTTTGTTATCCTCTGAATGAGATTTTCATGAAGACATTTTATTTTATTTTAAAGAAGTGTGGCAGGAAATTACATCATCTGAGAGTGCTTCTAGATACAGAAGCACCATACCCCCATGGTGCATGATCCTCAAAGAAAACAGAAGACACCCTTTGGAGAATTATGTCTGTGTAGACCATGTCTCCCATGGCAGTGCCATCACCTCCTTGTCCATGCTAGAGCTGGGTCACCATGAGTCAGGGGACTTTTTCCTTTTCAGACAGGGACTACTGGGATACTTTCGAAAGCTTGCCTATTTCAGTTTAGTTGTGGGAGCTAAGCTCTCCTGCAAATGAAATCTCTACCTGCAAGTTCGGTTTTGCCTAACTTTGGTAGAAAGCATGTTTGGTAAGTGCATTAGTAACAGGGCCAGCAGGAAAGGCTTTTGCCTTTTGCTTAATGAAGCTGTTTTCCTGTCAGGAACATTTATCAGGCTTAGACTCTCACCATGCCCATTAACCTCATGATAACCAACATCTGAAGTGACTTACCAATCACCACTTGAGTGATTCCAACAACCCCAGTGTACTACCTTCAAAAATAAGCTTAAGTAGCTTTTTATGCCTGTAAAATCAACCTAAAAATTACAGCTTCCAATGCTAGACAAGCTCTCAGCATGAGCTTTTCCAAAGAAAAATCAGATTAAAAAAAGACTTTCTTTTTTCTAGTAATACTTAGTAGTTTTGTTTCCATGAATTGTATGTTGGTGAAAGTCAGCCCAAACAGCTAAAATATCCTTTCTGCTTCGTGGATGTAACCTAGAAAGGCGATGCGAGCACCACACGTTGCATTGTCCCCTGTGCCAGTGTTGGGATCAGTTATAGGAGGGGCAGGAAGAACATTACAGTTCAAACGTTCATTTGGGCTTCAGCCATATGGCCAGAAATATCTACTGTCCTGTCTCGGACCAAGACCAACAGCTCCTCATACAGAACGTACTGCACAGCCGCTAACTGCCAGGAGCTTTCACTGGCTACCGATACACTTCTGTCTCAATATAAATAGGACACCGAGATGATCTTGAACACAGCACATACTACACAATGCTTCCAGTGGACTTAAAATCAGACCATTAGGGTCTGAAGCTGCCCATGAATCAGGAAAATTGTCAGAACCTGTAGGGATTATCTAGGATGATTAAGGAGAATATAACATCAAATCAATAACAGAAAACCATCCTGGTAGGAGTAGGGTCAATAGCTTCATACAAGCTTAAGTTTTTCCTATTCTGACACTTAGAAATGAGGTTTGCTTTATTTGTACACTGGAAAAATAACCTGTTGCTAATGCAGGCACTCCTTGAAGCAAAACCAATGAGGACAATGAAAATGACCCTGCAGCAAGATGGAATGGCTTGAGCACCCACGCTACAAAAGGAAGCCTGACAGAATAATATGACTAGAAATCATTAGTTTTTCTGCCTTCTTTTGTTGTTAGGTTACTTAACCTACCACAAGCCATTTGGAGGAAACCCGATCTCTTCATTAGTCCATCAGAAATCTGGACTGGAATTTCACATAATTTGGAAAAGAAGCATACTGAAGAACTTAAGGTACTTTTACAGACATTCACATTTGGTTGGAAAGCTATATATTTATAAATGCCCCAAACTTCTATTGTAATAGAGCCATTAGTATTGCAATATTATTTATTTTTCACAGCACAGCCAAAACCTCAGTACCCTCCCAAAGGTATGACTCATTCCACAGTCCTGCATTCATAGACAGCCACAGCAAAGGTCCTAGGCTTTGGCCAGCATCTGTCTGCAGTGCAGGTACGTTGCCGTCTCATTCCTGCTAAGGGACCTGCAGGGCTTCCCCAGAAGAATACTTTTGGGACCAAGGCTAAGATTCTAAGTTTTTTTTTTTTTTTTTTTTTTTTTCTGCAAACATCAGGAAGTAAACAGTTGCATGGTTTGGTTGTTTCACATTTTAAGATAACTAAAAACTTTTGGTTTGTTTGTTTTAATTAAGTTTTGTAAGATTCGTCCCTGTTCTAAAATACACAAGTCTTTCAGTAAAGAGCTATATAGAAAAAAAAATCTGCTAATTAGAAATATTTGCTGTCCTTAAAATGCTGCTGAATTTGATATCAAAACCTTAGTAATCTCATTATAAGCGTGTCCCCCTTCTCATCCTAGAAAGGTATTCCATATATTGGTGTAGTGTTAACAGAAATATTAAAGCAACAAGACAGAGGAAAGGTGGTGTTAATTTCCTATTTGTAACACTTGTATTTTGTTCATATGTAGAACATATTATTTTCAGGCCCGTTAACGTCTGGCACAGACGTCCCCACGTACAAGGACACTGATATTATTGGAGTGAAAAGGTCAACAACGCTCTTCAGTATGAGTTTAACCAGAAGGAAAACTCAGTAGGAGAGAGTCATGGAATTACAATATCTTTTACAAAATACCCTCTTCTCAGTAAACCTAACACTGATTTGAAGTCAAGCTCAGTTTTCAAACATATTTAAATTCTCTGCAGTCTTCTTAAATTTCGGATTTAAGACAGAGCTGAAGTATTAAGAACGAAGACTGCAGTTGATTGGCCTGAAGTTTTTGGCACTAATCATTATTTAGACTTGAACTTTATCTTTAACACATCAGATTTTAATAATATTTTGTGCATATGAACTGAAATATTTTTTCCATTCAGGCACTGAAAATCTGTCCTTGTAACAAAATCTGGTGGAAGAGATTCAGAGTAACTACATTAAGCCATTTCATTAGTGCATTTAAGTCTAATGAAATCTTTCATCGTTAGTCCTCTAGGGGCTTTTGGTATAGAATTTGCTGTGGCTCAAGGTTATTCTTGTCTTTTCACACGTTCGGTCATTCCCTACACATTACACTTGATGGGAGCCTCTTTTATTGGACAACATTTTCCATGTGATGAGTTAGGATGGATTAGTTTTCATGGCTGTGTGTCCAGTAATAGGAAGTGCTTGCACACTGTACCCAGGAACAAAAACAGAATCACTGCTTCATTCAAATAATGTGAGCTACCCAATTTCTTGCTTTTGGTGCTAGGGCTTGGCAACTGCTGCTTACTTCTGATGTACTTTTGCAGCCATCATTATATGTTAACCAGGGCCTCTCAAAAAATACCCTCCCCCATAAGCAATTCACAAAAATCACCTTAAGGACAAACTAGTAAAAACTGCCCCAAAGTGTCAGAAAAGTACAACGACACTTGAAGAACAAACCAGTTACAAAAGCAAAGTTTTATTAAATGGGCTGCAGCCAAGCTTAATGTTTATATAAATGCTCCCAGAACATTTTCAAATGTATTAATGTGCTTATTTTCAATGGAGAAACATTTTTTTACTAGACTTTGCCCTCTAGTTTTCCCATCTATTTGAGAAAGTAAAATTAGAAATGAGTAACAACACAAATGAAATGAATGCAGCCATCCCTCTAGTGCTCACTCTCCAGGGTCTTTACAGGTTTAAATGCAAAAAGGATGCTGAAATAATAGATATTATTTTTCGGAGAAGAAAAAAAAAAAAAAAAAAAAGGAGAATCACAAATAGCAGGAACAATACATTTTTCGAACTTCTTTGGTCTTACAGGAAAAGGCATTCCAGTAATTAAAGGCAAACAAGTTATCTAGTTATGAAAGATCGATGCCTACTTAACTCTTACTCATGTTTGCCAGTTGCTCCTGAACAGATATAACTTCATCTGAGCACTGAATAATTCAAGGTCAGCAGCAAACAACTTCTACAAGGATTTTTGCATTAACAGTTTAGAGAGAATAGGGTGTTTGAAGTGGTGAATTTTAAGAATGTGAGCTGCTTTGACTTAACTGCGCATTCCCTAATATAACTGTGTTTCCTACCTAGGGGAATGTGGAGGCTAACTTCCCATAGGACTCTGAGTGACTGTAAAATCATAAATTGCTCTACAAGAATACTGCGTAAAAGTAATGTCAAATCCACTCCCCTGGTGAACATTTCAAGCAGTAAACATTTTGGTTATTGTTTACTGAATGTGAACATAGCCCCGGGGTAATTAGCTTAAGCTGAATTAACATAACCAAGCTCCTCCCCATACTGTATTCTCCCACTGTATTTGTCGTTGTGTTAGTTTTGTTTTTTGTTTTTTATTTTTGTTTCTTTTTAACATAAAATATGTAGGTGAAAGGCACATAGGATGGCTTTAGCACAGCACTGTGACTTTTCTGCTGCTTTGGGAGGCTAAGAGTAATGGTGGCAGGTGACCAGAGGTCTGCAAGGATGGCTTGGGAGATGGTGCTGGGGAAGCAGAAGATGGGGGTTAATATGGAAAGCAGAGAACCAGCTGAAATGACTTGACTTGACTTGTATAAAGCATTAATGGTAATTTGAGACTCAGAGTGTGTCTGGAAAGTACAGCTAATCAGTCTGGCCCTTTAAACTATGCTCTTATCAAGGCAATCTAAAATGTAGGCCTGAAAAGGGGAAGAAGCTTTGCTTTTCTAACCCAGAATTAACACAGGTTACCACTGCAAGATCAGCAAGAGATGGCACAAAGTGCAGATGGCTTTGGATGCTGTTTTTCTGATAGGGACCATGAGTCTCACGAGGTTAGCTACATAACTTACCTGAAGTACAAACTCTCTAATATTCGTACTGCTGCACAAGGGCTATATTGCTGTTACTCAAGGTGGAACCATTTCACAGCTGAATTTTCAGGAACTGCAAAGCGTTTATGTGGTAGTGAAAGACTGGCCATGGGATAAGGAAGATGAGCACACCATTAAATGCAAAGTTTTCTAGCATGCTGACCTCCCAGCCCATCCCCAGTTGTCCCTCTGTTCCTTAGCACATCCGGACAAACAAAACAAAACCTCATTTCCAGCTACAAATAACAATTATGAATAGCTAAACAGCATGGGATTTTGGAGTTCCAGCCTCTACTTTGTTCAACTTCTCTTGGGTGGAATGCTCAAATACACAGTACTTCTAGAAGCAAGATAAATAGCTGTAGCTACTAGAATAAAGATGATATCTACATTTTCTGGGCTAATGCTATGCAGGGATGAACATCAGAGAGTTCATTTCTGTTCTGCCAATGATGCTAGCTAAGAACTTAACCCTTAGTATAAAGGTTTGTGTTCAAACCAGACTAAAGCATGATATTTCTCGTACATCCTAAACAGTCTTGACTATATATTTTCACAATTCTGTTTTTACTTCTCTTTTAACAGGGTATAAAGAGTTGCACAAACGGCATGGAAAAAACAAAGGAAAACAAAAGGATTTTTGAAAGGGAGTGAAATACCCCTGTTACAAATGAAAGAGAAATATAAAAACAGCCCCCTTTTTCTCAGAATTGGTTATGTTTCCCTAATCTGGTGAATTCCCCATTATCAAACCACAGTGAACCTTCATTCAGCTCTTCACTCTCTGCATCTTGTTGAGACAGAACCCGGCTATTTTTACATGTTTTCAAAGCCAAACAATTTGAAAGTAACTAGACACAAATGAGATCACAGATAACTAAATAATAATATATGGCATTGTCTTCCAGACACTGTCTGACAAGTTAAACTCTTTTTCCAAAGAAGCTGAAGATAGAAGACAATAGAGCTGTAGTTCACTGCACAAGGAAAGACACGAATGTTAGTATTTTGCAGCATCTGGTTAAAAGTTTTGTTTTGTTTTTCTGAGTTTGTCATTCATGGCTCTGAATTATACAAGGATCCACAGGGCTAAAATCAGCAATACTGGAAAGAAATAACCATATTGCCTATGGTTGCTTGTTTCTCTGTTGTTGGCCTATTAAACTTACAATAACCTTTGGATATTAAACTGGCTTCTGTTACACTACTTCATTATGCTCAACAAGTTGTTAACACTACAAGGTAGCTCTTTGTTGTATTCATCCTAGGGTGCTGCCAGACCACTGCAAACTCAAGTCTGAGACTGGCTTTTCTATTTAGCTTAAATTGCATTGCTCAGAACAAGCAATATGCAAAATTAAAAAAAAAAAAAAAAAAAAGACATGCAAAAATGTCTAAGGCAGAAAACAAGTAGACAAAAAAAATTAAAAGTATGATCAGGACTCATTAAGAAGTCTTGCTTATTGATTTCCACTTTACACAAGACTTGAATTTACTAATTTAATACGTGCTGTATCCCCCTTCTTAATTAAGACACATCAGGTAATACTACAACAACATCCTATTTAGCCTTTTGTTTTGAGACAAAAGAAATAGGCTTTTATTAGATCAATTACTGATGCAGTTCACTGGCGATCTATAGAAGGTCAAAACAACATGGCATTGCTACTTATTTAACTTCACACAATGACTTCAGCCAGAAACTCCTTTACTTTTTTGCCTCATCTCAGCAATAGTGCATTCTAAAATAACGTGGAGTAGAGACAAAGACAAGTTTTTCTTCATGAATCATAGGCAAGAAGTTAGATTCAGTTATACACCTTTGCAGCTTTATGCTATTCTACCAAGGCCAAGTAGCTAAACTTAGAGAGCATCTCAGCTGTTCAAAGCAAACGAAAATAATTGCATAGTTCCAACTGACAAAATAAAGCAGCTCTCCTGTTGGAGAGACAGGAATTACAACAGGAAAAATATCTGAAAGGAAAAGGCCATTGACTGTATTAGTAATATTTACATTACCAAAATTAGCAATAAGACTATTTCAGAAATCCTTAACATTTTCCATGTTGCTTTCTACCACAAAAGTGATTGGTAAATTCTCCTGCCATTTAATAATGAAAAAGGGAAGATGGATGTCAGTGTTGTGAAGCTGTTTGTAAGCATTATATTCTGAACTCACACCACATCATGATTACATGATGAGACAACTCAAAAAAAAATTTTTTTTAAATATATATCACTCCCACAAAAATCAACCAAAAATATATGAGGCCAAATTCTGCACTGATTTACACCATGAGACATCAGAAGTGAATGGGAGCACACTGACTGCTAGGTCATCACAGTTCTAAGCCTGCCATCTCTGTATGTGCTCTGCATGTAATTTATACAGAATGATACGTGTCTGCCTCCAGCTGCACTTTTTAGTGGGTGTATCCTCCAAAAGCAGAGTGATAGAAGACTATAAACACAAGGGTGTTGCTACAGTCTGTGTAAGCTGCTGTGAAAAGCATTGTAAAACCTTGCACGGATAGCATTAGGACAAGGGGACCTCACTTCCCATGTCAATGCCATGACATCGAAAAAGAAAAAACAACAACAACATAAAACAGTTACAAAAGTGGCTCAAAACTGCAATTTTTGCAACTGGAAGCATACTCAAAGATTTGTTGTTTTACAATGGTGGAGAAACACATGGGATTTCAACTTGCGGAGAACAGCCTTTTCCTATAAATCACAGCGAGTAATCTGAAACCTAGAAACAGCACAGGGGCTCACATTTATGGATTTAAAACAGATGAAGAGCAAAGCATGCTCTTAACCCTTTCCCCATAGTTTCTTTCCAAGCCCAGAATGAAAATGCAAGAACTGAACAGAAATTAACTGGGAAAAAATCATGATTAATAAAACTCTGAGAACACCTAAAACTGCAGCTCTTTGACTGACTTCTCCAAGGATACAAGCAAAGAATTGTCCTAAAGCAAAGCACTGTAAAACAGCGAGAGTGTAATCCACTATTCGGACTGTTCTTTCATCAACTTTTATTTAAGCAGTTTATCTTGTTGAGATTAGGATCTCCCTTATACAGCAAGACCTGGCAAACACAGGCCTCTGGTTTTGAATGTCAGGCTGTATTTCACTGGGAAAAAAATACCTAGCAGCCTGTCGTCTCACCATAAGGTTATAAACTACTTAATCAAGCAATAGGAGAACTAATACTAACACATTAGCAATAGTTTTTCTTCAGAAATATGTAAGAGCATTAAGATATCATATAGAGGTCTTATTTGTTGTCTTTTAATATCCCCAAGCACTTCCCTACCATTTTAGCCTCTCTCTTGGTTCACTGGCCAAAAAAAAAAAAAATAAAAATAATAAAAGCAGAGCCTGTTCCAACTGGAATCCTAAGATGCAGCCTTTTTTTTTTTTTTTTTTCCCCTTTTCATTTTTTTTCCCTTTTGAAAAGAATGGGCTGGAATATCAGCATTGCCAAGAGGCATTAGTCTATACCTTGTCAGGGTCAGAGTTCCCGCCCTTCCAGAAATTTGCTCAAATATACGACACAATGGTATGATTAAACACAGAAACGAGCCAGGGCTGGAATCAAGAATGATGGTACGTCATGTTAATCTCTACACCCATACAATATCTTAGAGGAAACCCTAAACCAACCAACATAGGATGGTTGGAAGGAGAAGAGAAAGGATAATTTTAAGCTTACTGCAGCATCACTCATCTGTATATGTAATATTTGCCCATAGTGATCCAACCTCTGTCCCTGTACTGCTGCAGCTCAGTGAAGTTGTCCCTGTGCCCATATCTCTTAGTGAAAAGCTAGGGTGGCGAGTGTTTCTGTACTGAAGAGGAAAGATTGCAATCCAAAGGAAAAATGTCTCTAAAGTGGCAAACATGGGTACGTAAGTGATTTTTTAATGAAGAAGCTACCTAAGCACGTTAGAAAAACGCAGCATGAAAATTAATTCAGTCTTAACTACCAGGCATGTTGTGGGGGCATTTAAAGAACTCAGCTGTGACTGAAGTTTTGTGCCACAACCATCAGAGAAACAACCTAAAAGAAAATCTAAATCCTTCTGAAATAGCTTAGTAAAAGTGTTTTATGTAAATGTACTTGCAAAGAAACTTTTCTGGGGGGGAAGAGAGATTAAGAGAGAACTGCTGCTATTAACAAAATTTTCTTATGACCAACATGCTACATCAAAACATGTGGTTGCAAATTTCAGTAACCACAGAAGTCACCACAGTTTTTTGCTTTTGCTTTTTTTTTTTTTTGTTTTCTCCTTCTTCTTTTCAATAATTTCAAACCAGAGACTTAAGTTTAGCAAACACATACTTTGTGGAAAATGTAGGGTTAGATTCTCAACTGCTCACCTTCATCCTATTATCGTAACAGCTTTCTAAATCCAAAGTCTGATTTCAAATGCAACCTCTTTTGCTCTATTTTAGTCCTGCAGCTGCTCAAATCCAGATCTTGTCATTGTCTCTTGTGAACCCAAGATCATATTTGTATGCAGGCACCGACGGATGTCTCCAAAGGGACTTCCAAAGATGTCTATCGGGCCATCTACGTAGGCTGGGACATACAGTTTTGAAAGTCTTATAAAGTACCTAAATAATGGTCATGACAGTGCCTATTCTATGTTTAGCCCAACGTACAAATTGCTGGAGTATGAAGCAGAAGCACTTTGCAGCTTGAAAGTTGCTAAAATAAATAACCACATTTACCAAGTTGTGTGTGCAACATGGCTAGCTACATAACCCTTCTTTAAAAGGCACTCTGTACAAAAGTTTCTACCTAAATGTAAAAAGTCACTCTGCAGCCCGTCTCACCAAAGCTGGTGGATGACACTAATGCATGAGTAGCCTGACTGAAGTCAAGAGGAGAACATGGGCCTGAACTTGCATACTTGCTTTGCATATCGAGGGATCAGTAGAAACCTGAAAAAATTGTACATAAGAAAACTTTTAAGATAGAAAATGTAGTTTATATATTGAGCAGAATTCTAGATGTGTACTTATTAACTGGGTTTGTATTTTTTGTGTGGAAAATTTGACCTGAAACACGTAAGTTTTCCTGTTCAACCTAATAGCTACAGAATATGCTGTGTTATTACTATTGCAAAAGACAGGAAATTTTATGAGCTGATATGCTGGAGACAGAAACTGGCTGGGACTAACTACTCTGGTATGTGAGTTCTGTTTCTGTTTGTGGCTCCAAAGCACATGCGCAGCTCAACAATGTATTTTTTGGCCTAGAGAAATTATTCTCTACTAAGTTAGATACAGAAAACTGTATTTTATTTTTAACAGTATTTTATTTATTTTCTCTTCTCCAGCTACTATTCCTCTCAACTCAAGATGTTAACAAGTCTGTGTACCTTACAACTTAAGTTCTGCTGCACAGAAAAAAATGTTTTTAATATTCCTATCTCCCTGTGCAGATATGTGATGATGTTTACAAAGCAATTTACAGTCAAATGCTTTATTAAAATTATCAGCCCACTTCATAGATTCACATTTCTGCAAAGCAAAATTTCCGCAGTGAGGGCTGAACATCAGCTCAAATATGCTCAATGCAGCCAGTAGGAATTAGGCAGTTTTAGGTGAAAACTAAGCTAGCTACTACAGTCCAGAATAGACAAAACCCAAGGGAATATACTACATGCAGGAGTGGAATTAAGGGGGGCTCAGCATTGCCACCCTTTGTGTTCTACTTGCCTTGAGAATCATGAGATTCCCATGTCAAGGTTAATATCATACCACAAAACACGTGGCAAACGTTACCTAGGAAAGCAGAGAGAGATCTTGTTTGGCATTAAAATGACTGTGATGATTTACTTTTTTAGGGTGCAAGATAAGGTACATGTACAACTCAGCCCCCAGTGTCTCACCTGCAGGAGAGGTAGGATCAGAAGCAGTTAGCCAAACCCTCAGCTGAGACTTTCACCCTCTAGCACACTTCTTAGTAATGTTGGATTTTTTAAACATAATAAATAAGTTCCTAAAGATACAGAGAGACAAATAGCTACAGAACAGTGAGGAAAATCATACTGATCACCCATATGCCTCAGAGTTGCTTTATACATTTAAAATTCTGGTCTTTAATCCAAACAGAATCAGTTTCACATAATATCAGACCAAACCAGAAACAAATAGACTTTTCATATTTAGAAAGGCTTCCTTATCTTTTCTTCACACTATTTCTTCTGTTTGCGAGTCAAGACCTAAATCGCCAATGATAAAATGCCACAATAAAGAACATTTTCACAGAATCTCTAGCTTGAATTAGAAGCACGGAAAAAAAAAATCAGCACAAACTCTTCTCTCATAACACTTTCACAACCCACTTTGTAGACTCATGAGATCTGGAAGAATCTGAGAGACTCTATATGATGCAATCTCTACTCAAATCTCTGAATGTTTATCCACTATTAATTTTATTGAGAAGACTAAGATGATATTGTTTGCTAGAATGACTTATCAAAATATAGACCAAATAAGTTGTATTTTTTTGTCTTGTAACTAGACTGCCTCTGCCTAGAACCTACAGAGCACTCTTCTCTCCATTTTCTAGTTTCAATATTGCTCTCTTTGAGCAGTATTTACCCGTGTGCATGCACTATACTGATGAAACACAGTAACAACAAATTATTTGTATTTGTATAGTTAGGTGGCCAAATTGTTGTGTTTTTCTTTCCTTTTTTTTTTTTTCAATACAGTTCATTTTTTCTTCTGCGTTATATGATGCCCTGAGATGGTTTATCCTCTACAGCGGGCTGTTCTGATGCCTCTAGCTGCTGCTTCCCAAGAAACATTGCTACAAATTATTAGGACAGTTATCTAGTTGAAGTCAGACCCAAAATAAAGGCCACAAAAACCTAAAGATTTTTCATTTTAGAATATTTTCCTGAATCTGACCAGCAACTGAAGGGTTATTAAGAATTCTTGCAGCTTAAGGTTCACATTCAGATAAAATTAAAGTGTGAATGGGCTGGAAACTGCTTTCCAGAGTACTAAGAGCTGTCTCAAAGCTTATTTTCATTCCTGTGCTTTAATGTATTAAAGAAAAGCACTATAAAAGTTCACCTTCAATTACAATAGTGGGCATTTCTTAAATAATTATAGCTGCAGCACAAATTAAACCGTATCCAAACTATATTTGGACATTCCCTTAACCTTTCTGACTTACAGAAATAAATATAACTCGTGAAGCTAAAATAAACTGCTTAGTTTTCAAAAGAAATGTTTAGTTATTGCTTTGAATTTTATAAATATGAATTTCTAGATAAAAATGGAATCTCATTTCAATTGCACCA